GCGCGGGGGAGCCAGGCCCAGCGCGCCGGAGCCGGCCTTCTGGGGAGGGGCAGGGAGCGCGCGTGCGAAGGCCCGCCCGGCCAGGGCCCCGGGCGCTCCCAGAGGCCGGCCGCGCTCCCAGCCTGCCCGAAGCCCATGCCCGGCGGCTGGTCTGTGCTGCAGCTGGAGAGGGGGCCCAGCTCTGCATGGCCCCGGCTGCTGACATGACTTCTTTGCCGCTCGGTGTTAAAGTGGAGGACTCCGTCTTCGGCAAGCCGTCTGGGGGAGGCGCGGGTCAGGCCCCCAGCGCCGCTGCGGCCACAGCGACCGCCATGGGCGCAGATGAGGAGGGGGGCAATCCCAAAGTGTCTCCTTCGCTCCTGCCCTTCAGCGTGGAGGCGCTCATGGCCGACCACAGGAAGCCCGGGGCCAAGGAGAGCGCTCTGGCGGCCTCCGAGGGCGCACAGGCGGGGGGCGGCTCCGCGCAGCCCCTGAGCGGCCGGCCGGGATCGCTGGGCGCCCCGGACGCGCCCTCCTCTCCGCGGCCGCTCGGCCATTTCTCAGTGGGAGGACTCCTCAAGCTGCCAGAAGATGCGCTCGTCAAAGCCGAGAGTCCCGAGAAGCCCGAGAGAACCCCGTGGATGCAGAGCCCCCGCTTTTCCCCGCCCCCGGCCAGTGAGTAGCCAGAACCTGGGCGGCGAGCGCGCGGGCGCGGGCGGATCCGGGGGTGCGGAACCCGAGGGCGCCGGGCCGGGACGGCTCCCCGCCGGCCTCGGTCCGGCGTCTGCGTCCCTGCCGCGGGTGCCTGGAGCCCGCGTTGCCGATCGGTGGGCGAAGAGACGAGGTTTCGCCTCTCCCCATTCGCGCTCGGGAACAGAGTTCAAGACTTGGTGCAGGCCCAGCTCGCGGTCCTCTTTCGCGAGCTCCTTCGGCCCGGCGACGCTGCTGGTGGGAGTTGGCTGTAGGACAGCGCTGCCTGGGCACCCTCTCCTCCTACCGGAAGACCCCGGAAATCCTTTCTGCCTCGTCTGACAGTAAACCCATTTTGTCGTTACCCAGACCAGGGGGTCCGAGTTGTACGGACGTCTTTCCTGAGCGGGAGTTTCACTTTCTGGTCGAAGCCTGGCGATTCCCCTCGCCCCCCGTGTATAGTACCTTGGCCTGGAGGTTCCGAAACGCTTACAGGACTCCCCACCCCCACCCCTCTCCGAGTTTGAGGCCGGTGACCTGGAGCTTTGGAGGGAAGGATGATTTCGAGGGAGGGGGTCCTCTGGCTCCAGTGGAGGGGCGGGGCACCAAGTGGGTTAGAACGGGGCGCCCTCTCTGATCCTGGCGGGAGCTCCGGAACATCTCGGACTGGGCCCGTGGAGCGCACTCCAGAGGCGCGTTCAGGGGTGGTTCCAATGCCTCGCGGCCCCCTGGCTTCTCTGCCCAGCGAACATGCACGGAGATATTTCAGGAGCACGGGAAATTCCCAAGTTTTCCTCGTTTCCTCCGATTATTTTGCGCGGCATAATAGCAGCCCGAATTCAATGGCATGATGCTGAGGAATGATTTTTATCTGGGGATTAAACGTTTTTGAAAGGCCAGCCCCTCCCTAGACCTAATGGCTTGAGAAGCTGGCCCAGCTAGGGTTGTCGCTGCTGAAGAGAGTGACTGTTTTCCTCGGTGTCCGCCCCGAGGGCGCCCGGCGGAAAGCCAGTGGGGGCCAACTGCTTCCCGGACTCGCAGTGGTGTCGAGCTAGGAAGAGGGGGGTGTTAATACAAGGTTTCGTTTGACTCACATCCTGGTGGTCTGAGCCCAAAGGATCCTTCGGGCTGGGGGGCGGGGGAGCGCAAAAAGAAAAAGAAAATGCAGAGTTAGGCAAAACCCGCATAGTGTAACATCCTGGAACTGAACTCTCTGCTGGGGAAGCTGCTGCAGAGGCGGAACGCCCTGTCCAGGACTTGGGAAGTCCGCTTGTGCCTTGGGCCCTGGGAGGCCTAAGTCAAACCGACCTGGAAACTGTGTGCCCCACGTTGCCTCAGTGGCAGAGAGTGGAGATGCGACCTAATCCCTACATGTGCTAGCTGTCCACCTGGGTGTTCGCTCCCTGTTCATCCCTTAGGTGTATTTTGAAACCAAAAGAAAAACAGGCATCTTTGGTCTCTGCTGACTGAGCCACAGGTCAAAGAGAAGTAATCGCCCTGCACCCCAGACACATTTGACTGCAGGACTAAGGCGCTGTTGGGGAAATAGGCCCGACAGGCAACCAGGAGAATCACCATTAAAACAAAATGGCCCCTCTCTCCCATGTTAGCTGTCATAAATACTTAACAGAAAGGGCCACAGTGCACCCCATGAGGGTGGATATTGCTCCACCTCCAGTCTGCAGAACTGTCCCTACCATCCCTAAGAGATCCATGTGCAGGAACTTGGAGATGTGGGTTCTATGCCCCCAACGACCTAGCCGGTGCCCAGCACTTGGTGGGTATAGGTGAATGGCTGGCACATGCATAGACTAAATGTGACCTTGTGTGCATGTTTTGTCATTGGTGTTAATACCACCTTTCCTCTGTCTGTGGCCTTGGGAGGGGGCCCAGTTGAGAAAGGCCTCTTAAACTGCCCTGCAACATAAAGGTGGCTCCACTTCTTAGCTGTGACTTAGGCCTTGAACGTGAGTGTGTTCCACCTGGAACCTTAGTGTATTTATTTGCAAAAAGTAGAAAAATTCTTCCCTTTGGGGTCGCGGTCGCGGTTGGAATTGGAGAAAACATGTTCCAAGTTCCTCGAACAGTGCTTGGCATTGAGGGATTTGGAGGAAATCAGTCACTGGTATTTTTATCACCCGTTATTTCTACTTACTGGGCTGATTGTGCTCCAGCGTGCCTCTCTAAACCCCCTGCCTTTCTCTCTTTCGGCCCCTTAGGGCGGCTGAGCCCCCCAGCCTGCACCCTGCGCAAGCACAAGACAAACCGTAAACCGCGGACGCCTTTCACCACGGCGCAGCTGCTGGCGCTGGAGCGCAAGTTCCGCCAGAAGCAGTACTTGTCCATCGCCGAGCGTGCCGAGTTCTCCAGCTCGCTCAGCCTCACTGAGACGCAGGTGAAGATCTGGTTCCAGAACCGTCGCGCCAAAGCCAAGAGACTGCAGGAGGCCGAGCTGGAGAAGCTGAAGATGGCCGCTAAGCCTATGCTGCCACCAGCTGCCTTCGGCCTCTCGTTCCCTCTCGGTGGCCCTGCAGCTGTGGCGGCAGCGGCAGGCGCTTCTCTCTACGGTGCCTCTGGCCCCTTTCAGCGCGCTGCGCTGCCGGTGGCACCCGTGGGACTCTACACGGCCCACGTGGGCTACAGCATGTACCACCTGACATAGAGGGTCCCAGAGTGGCCCATCTGTGGGGCCAGATGATTCTTCCAGCCCTGGTCTTCTGCAAGCAGGCAGGAGCTGGACTTAAGCGCTCTTTGCTCAGCACCACCTGGCGCCTTCCCTGTAACCCCAACACTGCTCCAATTTCTTCTCCTTGCTCCCCGAGTTCACTCTCTGAAGTCTGATTCCCTCCCAAAAAGTGGCTGGAAGGGTCCCTTAGCACTCTTCTAGAATCTAGATCTACACCCCTTGAGTTACAGATGGGGAAACTGAGGCTAGAGAGGTTAAGAGATTTACCCAAGGTTCCCAGCAGAATTAGTGGTTAAACAAGACTAGAGGCCATGTTTTCTGCGTATTTGTTCCCTGTCCTGACACCAGGCAAGAAAAGCGTGGAGAAATTAGTGTTGGATGGTTATGGAAATGAGAACAGTCTGAGAGAAGGAGAACGTGCCAGGGGAAATGGATCACAGCTCCTTCCATTGGAAAACTTAAGAGAACTCCAACAGCAAAACTTTGGGCGGGTGGGGATACACAGATGCATTACAAAGGTAGGTGAAAGGGACCTCTCTTTTACCAGTACCAGAAGAAAGTTGTAAAAAAAAATCTGTTTCTATTTAACAGTACATTTGTGTGGCTCTCCAGCATCCCTTTGGAAGGGATTGTGTGTACTATGTAATATACTGTATATTTGAAATTTTATTATCATTTATATTATAGCTATATTTGTTAAATAAATTAATTTTAAGCTACAAGAAATGATCTTATTACTGATTTAGTCTTTTGATTTTCCGGTCTCTGCATGTGCTGCTTTTCACTTTGGCAGTGGCTTTCCACCAGCAACTTTCAGAGGTGATGACCACAGGCTCTGTGGGACAGAGAGGGTGTCTTTTTGAACATACAGGACGGATCTGCTTTAGCAAAGTCAAGGGGAGAATTGAAGCAATTACCTAGGATAATTAGGCTCAATTTTCCAATTCACTTTAAGCTGAAATCGACACTTGCTCAGGCGACCCATAACTGAGTCTTTTTTTCTCCCCTTTTAACCTGTCTATGAAAACAAAGCAAATCGCCCAAATGGTTTGATGACTGTAGACAGCGAATGGAGACCATTCCCACCTCCGCAAACCTGTTTTTCCCACAGGAGGCCAGGTGGAGGGTGGAAGTGATCGCTTTGCTTCTCTAAATCGCTGCCAGTGTAGACATGGTTTGAGGAATTAATTCTGAGCCACCAGAATGTGGACACCTTCACATCCCCTCTTCATGCCCCTCATTTTACTGTCTCCTAAAATAAGACTCCGTGGACTTTACCCCAAGCCCAGGGTGACCATACGCTTTCTTTTTCAGTCCAGCGAAAGCCCCGCTTCCAAACTCTCATAAACTTAGTTTTTCTTTTATGCAGTGGGTTACGTCGAGGCTTCCAGGAGAATATATTTGAAGAAACGCCAAGTTAAGCCTTCAGGAAAAATTCTGCAAGGACGTTGATGGCAAAAATCTAGCGCATAGCCAATAAAGTCTATAATGTTCCACTTTGTTCTCTCTTCGGGTTAGGGGCTACAGCTTAATTCTCACCAGATCTGCACATCCCTCTTCCCTTTCTGTCAGGCAGAAGGTGCCTCCAAACTGCATGCAGGACAGCCCCAGGCAGCTTTCATGGCCAGCTTTGAAGAGGGGAAGCCAGTAGATCTAGAGTTGTTAAAACCCAAAGTATCTCATTCAGCTTCGGGAGGGGTGGCGTTTCCACAAACAGAACCCTTAGAAACAGCCTGGAGTGCCTAGGCAGTTTTTTTGCACCAGGAGCAAGAGGTCGGCCTAGCAATTCCAAAGAACCCACGGTTGCTTGCGTGCACCTTCCGTGGGCTCTGCACTGGTGCTGGGCAATTTTCTCGGTCACCCTGCTGCTTGGATCCTTCAGCCCCAGTCGCTGGGTGGAAGGTTCTGTCTCCCTGCATTGGGGCTGTGGGACGCAGTTCTGCCACATCAGACCGTCTGAGGAAACCCTGAGGGGTAGCCCTGGAGTCCCTGGGTTTCCAGAAACTTGGCCAGAACGTGAGTCTGGGCCCTCTTCGTCCCCAAGAAAGGGAAATTACACATAAAAAGGTCTCAGACTTCCTCCCACATGACTCTTCAGGGACGCTTGAGGGCTGAGGTGCATCACCCACTTCTTGCAAACCCAGAAAGGGGTGCTTGTATCTCCTTCCTTTAAAAATCAAGCAATGGAGAGAGGATGGCAGAACAGGACACCCTAGCTCCCACAAATCTTCTGGGTTCCTTCCTAGAATACAAGCGGCAGTTTTCCTGTCTTGGAAAGGGTATTGAACTTGAAGTCAGACAAGCCAATGAGGTCCCAAGTGGTTCAAGTCTGCTATTTACAGCTTGACCTTGGGTAGGGAGAGCAGATAGCTCTCTGACCTCGGTTTTCTTATCTGCAAAGTGGGCCTGAGAATGCTCCCTGCCCACCCGCCCGCCGGGATTTTGGAGAAATGTTCTAGCGCTCCCGCGCAGTAGGGGACAAGGGTGTGCGGCGAATCCGAGTTTTCTTGGTTCACAGTTGGTCCGCAGCTTAGAGCCCTTTCTGCTCGTCTGGAACAGACGAATGGCGGGGAGAGATCGGGTGTCTCCTCCGGCCTGGCTCCTGGGGCTCCTGGGCCTCCTGGCTCCTATGAGTTGGCAATTTAGGGTCGAGGCAAATTTAGAGCAACATAATTGCCGTAATGAGCAACGGCTCTCGCTCTGCAGACGCGCGCCGGCTCCAGCGAGGCGGTAGCTGCAGGCAAGGGAGGCGCGCCTCGCCCACCCCCTTCCCTGTTCCTCATCCCGAGCGCAAGGGGCACACCGCCCTGGGACCCCGGCCCGAGTGCGCCTCAGCCTCTGGCCGCCGGCCCTGGGTAGGAGTTTCCACTTTTGGGTCCCCTCGTTTTCCGATTTCTGTTTCTTTTTCTCTGGCCCTTCCTTTGACCCTCTTTTTCTTGCCTTCTCTCGAAAGGGCCATATAAGGTGCTCAATAAACCTCTGTTCGCGGCCCGCCAGTGGGAGGTGAGACCCTTAGCCACGTGTCTGGTCCGGCGGGGGTTCGTCCGCCTCAGTTTTTCGAACTCAGTTCTCGGGTTTATCGGGCAAGGGTGGGAATGGCGGAGGCGGCAGGGGGCGTGGGTTCCCGGGCCTGGTCCTTTACTCATCATTTTCTTCTTTGGCAAGAAATGTCGGATCCAGCACCTCAAGTCGCCACCTACCTGGCTGGGGACTTGTGAAGAAGCAGCTGGCACTTCCGCAGAGCCAACTGTGTGCTGGGATTCCCGCGCACGCCCTCTGCTCGGTACTTCCCACAAATCTAGGAGGATTTTAGAGCAGAGGGGACACCGCGGGCCACAGAGGTGACGCGCTTTCCCTAAGATCACGCAGCTAATAAGAGGCAGAGCAGGAATTCGGACCCGAATTCCACTCGCGGATCTATGCTTTCAGCGCACTGCCGGGTTGAGGGCCGTCTAGTGCCCGGACGTCTCCACCAGGCGCGCGAGGCGCTGCAAAGTCCCTGCGGACTCGGCCGGGTTCTGGGCTGAAGTCGCTGAGCCTTGCCAGGAGCATCGATACCTAGAGAAATGAGAGGGCGTCTCCCTGTCCTGCGCGCCGTGCAGGCGTTTTTGTCTTGCTGGGGAGATCGAGGCTCGCCGCTGACCACGCGGGCAAGACCAAAGCGGCCCGTGGCGTGGAAGCGGGGGCAAGGTTCCCCGGGCAGCGGGGGACCCAGCGCGCCTCAGGCTCTGGGCATAGGCAGGTGAGTCCCAGGCACCTGGGGGCCAGAGAAAGGCTGGAGACCTCGCACTAGGAGCGTTTCTAGGGTGCGTTTCTCTGATGGCTGACCCTGGGGACAGAGGCCTAGATCGCTTAGCCCAGTGAAGACATTCATTCACTAGCGAGGCAGGGCGCCGCGGGGACGAAACCTCTGGCTGGCGCCCACCAACGCACGTGAGCCCAGCCCCATCCAGGCCAGCGTCTCGCCTGGAGCCCTCGGGGGCGCAATGGGAAGCGGCGAGGAGAGGCCGCGGCCGCCTTTCAACTTAGCGGCTGGCGCCGGCCTGGCCGGGCCCCCGGGGCCGCCGAGCGGCCTCCCTGGCTCTGTCCCGCCCTCCCTGACGCTCGCACGGCTGCGCAGCGGGGACAGTCCCCGGCCCGGACGCCGGGCGCCCTGGGAAGCACCTGACCCCCAACTACCGCCACCAAGTGCAGAGAACCCCACAGCCCCCACCACCGGCTCTAGGAATTCCTCCAGGCGCACCGACAGCCCCACTCCCGCCGTGCGCTCGCCTCCTTCCCAGCCTGGGAGGACCCGCCCTTCGCAGCCGCCTGTCTCCTCCGCAGCGCCCTCCCGCGGCCAGGCCGCAGCCCTGCACCTCGTCCCCCAGTCACCCGGTCCCAGGTGGCTCCCTCCGTGACGAGTTCACACACACATCATCGACACAACACACCAGTCCACATCCCAACACATACATGTGACCTGCATGAAGACACCCAACACACATAACAGCAACACGCATACACACAACCAACCACGGGCAACGCACACCCAGAAACACACACTGTCAACAATTACACTCACAGCCCATGTACAACAGCCGACACGTAGCACGAACAGACACCCAGTCCCATAGGACCAAGTGGCTCCACTCTGTACACAATCAAGCCATCCTCCAGCCAGCACAGGAGCAGACCCACAGACCACACCCAACACCCGGGATCGCCGCACCCCAGCGCTCACAGCCCCGTTTATAGAGCCAAAACACCCTCGAGGCTACCCTCCCCCGTCCTTGCAGGAGTTCTGAGACGCGGTGACACGGGTGACGCCGACACGACACACGTACTCTGCGGGGTGGGAAAGGGAAGGCAGACCCAGTGAGACGTAAAGGAGGAGAGATGGAGCCAGAGAAACGAGCACTCCCAAGTCTCTCAAGACTTCCATATGCAGACTCCGGGGACGGGAGAGGGAAAGCCCTGCCGAGATCTGGCTGCGCATTACCCCCGAGGAGGTGAGAAGAGCTCAGAGAGCAGCTCAGGACCCCGGGCTACGCTGCGCAGGGCGGGTTGTGGGGGATTCCAGGCCAGGCTCCCCACCCGTGCCTGCTTGGGGCCCATCCCAGGACTCCGAGCTCTCACTGGGAGGCCCAGAGAATCTCCGGAGAGGATGGTGGGAGCCAGCCCCCTTCCAAGAACAGCACGCTGACTCCTGCTCGTCCCTCTTCTCCTGGCGCTCCTCCTCCAGATCCGGGTCTTCTCCTGCTTAGGCAGGGGATGTCAGGATGGCTAAGGCGCTGGACACTTCCACATGGCCGACTCGGTTCGAGTCCTGTACCTGGTGGCTTGCTTTCTCACTTTCTCTCTCTTTCTGTCTCTCTGGTCAAATTTAAATAAATGAATGAATAAATAAAATTTAAAAAGTAAAGAATGGCTTCCTTCTCAGGTATCAGACCTACTTTACTAGAGCGGAATCAAGATCCAAGCCCTGAAATGTTCATTCAGCTTTCCAGCAGACCCCTGTTCTGAATTTTGCTTTGGTTCTTACTAACTGTGGCCTCGAGCAACTTACCTACCTTCTCTGAGCCTCACTTTCCCCATATACAAAATGTGGAATTGCCCTAACAATTTCTTCCCATTGTTATGGAAATAAAACGAAGTGCTCCGTGAGATGCTGGGCACTGTCCGCAAT